TTGGTATTAATAAAGTCTACACCTTCTAACCTATCCTATAACTATTTCCTAACCTAACCTATAACACCAATCTAAACCTATCAACTGAAACCCAACCAATCAATTCAGTTCAAAACAATAATAAAACATTATGGAAAACAAATCTCTATTTTGTAATCATTATTATAAAAAATTACGGAAGGAATGTGTATAGTAATGAATGCAACAATTGATAATTACTGGTTGAAAATTAAAAGATCTTTTTCATAAATTATAGACAAAAATAAGATGATCTTTACAAAATTAAAATAAAACACTTTTCCAACTAATATTTGTTGGTAAGGTAAAAAGATAGAAGAAAAAATGTTTAAACAATAAGTGAGCATTATATACCACTTTAATGGATGATATTGAAACATAAATTATAACTTGATTTCAGACTAAAATCCTTTAATGTTTTAATTCACGTTCTTGTTCCCATCTACCATTTACTAATTATATTAAAACATGCAAAACTGAAAAATAAGGTTATTGGTCAAGAATTCGAGGTTATACGAGTGCAGATTTCAGGCGTCGCAGAAGAAGAGGAATTATAGGACTGCGATGTCGTTGAGGCAAACAAGTTCGAAAAAGCGTACGATAAGGTAAAATCTGCGATTAGGGTTATGTTTAGGACAAAAAATCCAAATGAGCCGAGAGAGACGCCTCGTCGAGAAGAAGGTGTATTGGCAAGGGTATTAGAACAGCAAACGGAAATAATGAGGCAATTAGTGACTGGTTCATCTAACGCAGCGTCAGGTTTGGACGCGGGCGACAATGTAATCGCAAGAGTCCTGGAGTAACAAGGCGAGCTGCTGAGACAATTAACGAATAATCCTGCAGTCAATAGAGAAGGTCAGGTAAAACTACCTATCGTTCGACCTCCTACCTTTGACGGAAAAACCAAAGAGTGGAGAAGATTTTCCGACACATTTCAATCATTAATCCATAATAACAGTGACTTGTCTAGCACACAAAAAATCCAATGCCTCATTTCTTCGCTTTCTGGGACGGCGGCGAAAATTATCCAGTCTATCGAAATATCGGGATTAAATTACTTGATCGCCTGGGAGCTTCCGAAGAAACGATACGAGAATCCCAGGGCGATTAAGAAAAACCACATACAATGTCTATTTTCTATGGCGCAGGTTGCAAGGGAGTCGCCAAGTGCAATTCGTGAACTAGTGGACTATGCGTTAAAACATTTACGAGTTCTTAAATCTATGTCACCCACTGACTCCTGGAATGAGCTCATCGTTCATATGATGGAGACAAGATTGGATCAAGTGACACATCGAGCTTGGGAACAAGAGGGAGGTTCGGTGGATCCAGTTCTTGATAATTTAACAGATTTTTTACAGAAAAGGTGCCAAATGTTGGAGCGACTCGACACGAAGTCTAGGGACAGGGAAGTCACCGCGAAAATCGAGTCCAGTAAGAATTTAAAGTTTCCTGCGTGCGAAACCTACCGAACAAGGGCACAAGGTCCGGGGAAATCGCTACAAGTCAAGGTCGCAGCGATAACGACGTCTCCCAACGAACAATTTGCGAAGTTCTGTTATTGCGCTGAACCACATTTAATCTATGAATGCGAGAAGTTCTTAGCCTTATCGATCGAAGACCGAATAAAGGAGATTCGACGTTTAGACCTTTGCATGAACTGTCTTCGAAGAAATCATTTTGCAAAAACTTGCAAGCTAGGGTTTTGCAAACAATGTTCTGGAAAACACAATATGTTGTGCCACAGGCCGAGTGGGCCTTCGAAGTCAGAATGAATCGGGTAAAATGTTGCAGCAAGGAGAGATGAGCTCCGCCAAGGTCCAGAATGCTCACGTATCAATGAATCACGCAATTGGTAAGGCGAAGCAAACACGAGTGCTTCTGGGGACAGCGATAGTCAATGTGAGGCACACTAATGAAAGTCTCATTCCACTCCGTCTGCTGTTGAACAGCGCTAGTGAGGCTAACTTCACCACACAGTCGGCGTGCAACAGGCTTGGTATTAAGAGCAATCGAACTCTGGAAGCCGTTTCCGGGTTTTGACGGAATGGAAGGACAGGTAACACAAGAATGCGGGGTACTCATATTGTCCAGATACGGTGATTATAAGGCAAATGTTTGATGTCTTGCCGCAGCAGTGATTACTAAAGACTTACCTTCTATTAGCATTGATAGAAACATTGTACGCGTTTCGCCGTCTATTAAATTAGCAGACTCGCTGTTCTATGAGTGGGGACAAATCGATATGTTGATCGGTGCCAAGTTCTTTTACAAGTTGCTTGAAAACGAAAGCATAGAGTTAGGAGGAGAACTACCGAAATTGCGCAATACTAACGTAGGTTGGATTGTGTGTGTGTGTGTGTGTGTGTGTGTGTGGGGGGGGGTGCCCTCGGAAGGTTCAGCTTAGCATGCCAGCGAAACACCTTGACTGTGTTGAAATGTTCAGTGGAGCACTTCGACAATTTGAACAAGAATGTAGAACAATTCTAGTAGTTAGAAGGATGCGAGTCCGGCGTGGGACAGGAGCTATCAAGCGGCGAGCTGGAGTTCGAAAACTGCTTTACAAATACGATATATCGAGATAAGACGGGGCGTTTCGTAGTACGACTACCGTTTCGCGACAATATTGGCAAGCTGGAGGATACTCGAGAAATAGCCTGCAAACCCTTATTCCAGATCGAAACACGATTCAAGAGGGTAGAGTTATTGTGAGATAGGTATATAGAACTTATGCACAACTATTCGGAGTTAGGCGACATGTCGTTAGTTCCGAAGGAGTTACAGGTAAACCGGCCGATGGTATATTTACCATACCATCCTGTAGTTAAGGAGTCGAGTGTGACCACGAAGTTGCGCGTGGCGTTCGACGCGTCTGCCAAGACTAGGTCCGGAAGGTCTTTATATGACTGCCTTTTAGTAGGTTCTAATTTGCAAGACAATCTAGCTGATATTGTGATGCATTTCAGAATTCACAACGTTGTAATTACGGGAGATTTGAGGAGAATGTATAGGCAAACTCTAGTTCATCCGGAAAATCGCGATTCTCAACGCATTTTGTGGCGTTTTTCTTCGACCGAACTAATAAGGAAGTACAGGTTGAATACGCTGACATATGGAACAGCGTGTGCATCCTTTTTAGCTTTACGGTGCCCGCCGGAACTGGCCGAAACGGAGAGGCGCAAACATTCACTAGTCGCCGAGATTGTGCTGAACGATTTTTATATGGACGATGTCTTGCGTGAAGTTGGTAGATGACGTGAGGGTTCTGCGAGACCAGCTAATCCGATTGATGGACGCTGGAGGATTCGAGATACATAAGTTATGCTCAAATTGTCCAGAAATGTTGGAGTATGGGCCGCTTAAAGCAAAGGAGTCGGTGTTGCAATTCAATTTGAAGGCCAACGATGTGATTAAAACACGAGCGGGAATGGTGCCCAGGAGACGATCAATTCAAATTTACGATCCAGACAAGCGAGATAGTGGAAACCAAAAGGCAAGTGCTGTCTGAGATATCAAAGATATTTGATCCCTAGGGATTGCTAGGATCTATTATCACTGTAGCTAAATTGATTATGCAAGAAACGTGGAACCTGGGAACGAGCTGCGATGAAGTGCTCTCTTCGCACCTCTCGGATAAGTGGAAACAGTTTCAGCAGGACCTTAGGGTCGCCGGTACCTTGCGATTACCAAGACGGGTAATTCCATTCGACGAGTCGAGTAGCATCGGATCGTCGCAAAATCCGTACACGGATTTTGTGACGCGTTGGAGGACGCGTACGGGGCTTGCGTGTATATCCAAGCAACGGATCATGAACGCAATACCAAATGTAGTTTATCGTGTTCAAAATCTGAGGTAGCGCCTATTAAGAAGGTATACGGATTTTGCGACGTGTTGGAGGACGCGTACGGGGCGTGCGTGTACGTCCAAGCAACAGATCATGAACGCAATACGAAATCTAGTTTATCGTGTTCAAAATCTGAGGTAGCGCCTATTAAGAAGGTATCGATACCTCGATTGGAATTATGCAGTGCGTTGCTAGTAGCCAAATTGTTAAACCATGTCAAGAATGTGTTGCCGCTTCGACTGATTGGGATTCGGATTTGGATCGATTCCATGGTGGCACTTCACTGGAATCGTGGCGATGTATCACGATGGGAAACATTTGTATCGAACCGAGTATCGCAAATTATAGAACTTTTGACCGCAGAGCAATGGAGCCATGTCAAGGGTGGAGAGAATCCTACGGATTTAATATTCCAAGCAGCAAGACTGCAGTAACTAAAGGATTGCAAGTTGTGGTGGTCGGGCCCGGGCTAGTTATCCAATTCACCAGACGAGGTGAGTGATGTTATAGTGGTGGATACCGAACAAGTATTAAGGGCTGTGAGTTCAGAAGAAAGGAAGAGAGCTCAAGGGTGTTTAGTCGTTGCTGGCGGAGCACAGTTATGGCAAACTCTGATCGACAAATATTCCGCCCTGGTCAAAATTGAACAAATTTTGGCATACTGCGTGAGGTTTGTATCAAACTGCAGGAGCTCGCGATAACAACGAGTTGTGTACGGGTCTGACGTCGGTCGAATTACAAGTTACGAGGAGGTGTTTACAGAAACATGCTCGAGTTATCCATTTCGAGGAAGATATAACGGAAATCCGACAACAAGGAAGAGTACGACTCTCGAGAAAAATTAGCAATTTGAGTTTCTTTTTGGACGAGGCAGGACTCCTCAGGGTGGGTAGCAGGCTACAACAGGCCTAGCTGACATTTGGACGCACACACCCTATTCTCTTGCCGCACGCAAGCAAGGTTGCAAAATTATTATTGAAACAAGAGCATACTCGATTGTTACGCGCGCGACAACAATTGTTGTTGGCATCTATCGGACAATATTATTGGCCCTTGAGAGGACGAGATGTGGCACGCCGAACGTGTCACCAATGTATTATTTGCTTTAAGAACCACCCAAGGAAATTATTCCAAGCGATGGGGTCACTTCCAAGAGATCGAGTGATGGCCAATCGAGCGTTTTTCAACACGGGGGTTGATTTTGCTGGACCGATAGTCACCTTGGTAAATAAGGTACAAGGACGTAAGAACAACAAAACACACGTAGCGTTATACGTTTGCTTCGCTACGAAAGTTATTAATTTGGAGCTCACAAGTGAGCTAACTTCTGCTGCCTTTAGAGCTACCCTGAGAAGATTTGTTGGCCGACGAGGTAATCCACAGAAAATATATAATAACAACGGAACAAACATCGTGGGAGAAAATCGAGAATTGACTAAGATGTACAAGTTGGTCATGGCCGAAGTACGCACGATCAGTGATGACGTTTTGGCACACCAAAGGATACAATGGATCTTCATACCCCGTGGCTCGCCTCACATGGGTGGTCTCTGGGAGGCGGGAGTGAAGTCGTGCAAGCACCACTTGAAACGAACGATGGGAAATAAGCTTTTGATAGACGAGGAACTCAGCCTCGTACTAGTTCAGATAGAAGCGTATTTGAACTCAAGGCCGCTGTGTCAATTATCAAACAACCCTACTGATTTACAACCCTTGACGCCAGTACATTTTCTGGTAGGAGAGGCTCTTACTGGCATTCCGAAGGTTGACTTACAGGACGTCAGTATTAATAGACTATTGAGATCGCAACTATTACAACGAATGGTGCAAGAATTTTGAAAACGTTGATCCACAGTGTTCCTTCGCGAAGAGTATTCAACGAAGCAGTGTGCTTAAGGAAATGTATTATCCCAAAAAACATTCTCCGGAAAAATCCTTCTCTAGTTTCTGACCGTACTTCTAACCCATCGAATCGTCTTCATTCTCCGAACCCTTAAATGGAGTTTTTTAGCGTCGCGTCGTTGCGGGCCATTGTCGGATCTCTGGCAATAGTGACCACCTACGGTGAGGCCATGTGCACTCCACCTTTTTGGGTTTTTCCGGAGCAAAAATAACCGAAGTGGTCCTTGGCTTTTCGAGTGGTCCCTTGACTCAAGCGTGTATTTCGACAACCAATGAGCGTTCAAATTTTTGAATCTAGGCGTCTGCATGCAGAGGACCACGAACTAATCCCATTTCTTTAGAAAATAAGCGACACGCCTCCGCAACAGCGCTAAAATCTCTTGTTCAAGAGAGACAATTCAGAATCAAAAAATCAATCGAACGGTTAACATTGAAACCGAACGAAGATCGAACCTAACGTGCAAAGTCGAATTCGTTAATCATCCTATCTCAATCATCGTAAAAACTCATGATCCGTGAGGACATTTACACAAACTTGCCCCGAGGTACGCAATCTCTCCCTGGTTCTCATTCGTTCAAATTAAAATAGTGTGGTTCGGCATACTCTCGTGTGCATGGCCACGACACACAGAATACGTGCCCGCGATGTAGAAGAAGGTCAAATGGAAGACCTCGCAAGAAAATCTGGCTATCAACGACTCGTCATGATTCAAGACGAAAACCTCCCCCCCCCTGAAATGGTGGATCGGTCAAGTGATAGAGCTTCATCCGGGGAAGGATGATCTAGTGCGAGTGGTTACCTTACGAACTGCGAATGGTAGTGTTAAGCGAGCGGTAGCGAGGCTGTGTAAATTGCCTGTTATCGACGCAAGCGAAAATTGATGCTCAGCAATCAGTTTTGCAGGGTGGAATGCAAGCGCGCGAAACTAGGGGTCTCAAGAGCGAGCGGAGTTTTTTGAACGCGCCGTATGACCGACCAATGGCAGCCGTTGGTGTCGGCCAATCAGCGCGCGCTGATGCAATAACGCGTAACAAAAACGTTTTGGGAGAGAGAGCCGCATGGCGAAGCGAAATTAACAAAATAAATTCACTGTACTAGTAAGAGATTTTATCTGTCAAGTTTGAACAATAAAGTCTTGAAACTGAGAGACAACTTGAGTATTGAAAATGGCTTTATCACTAAAATGGTTATAGATGAATTTTATTTTATCGACGTAGATTAAATTTCTCAGCGTCTTTCATCCGACATTAAGTCGACCCCACAGAAACTCTTTGACATACAGCGTCAAAAGCATGGCCGCATTAGAACGCGCCGAATAGGCATCGACTGGTCGTTGCCGGCAGCTGTGCGCCGAAGTAGGTAACGATTTTTCTGCCGAGTTTAGGGTCATTTCTTTCTCTTCGCTGAAATCTACATTAATATTAGTTTATCCAGAATGTCTTTTGCAGAAAAATTACAAGACCAACGACCATGAAACTCGGGACTGTCGGTACAGTAGTAACCGATGAGTTATGTAGTTATTTATTTTATTATATTTGTTACAATGAGCTTATAAGTTACAATCGTTTCTCTCCCCTTTGAGAGGGCTGTTTACAACCGAGAATTTCACTCCATCGCTCAATTAAAAAAGACAACACTCGATCCAACTATCACTGTCTCAGGAAGCAGAGTACGTCTCGAGTCGCAATATACAGGTCCACAACACGTCCGGAGTAGGTCCATAGGCTCGAAGCGAGTCCGTAGGACGTCAGAATCGGTGCCTCGATGTATCAAAGATCCACAATAGCCACGTATATGTCCAGAAAACGGGCTTTCAGCGCCCGCGCCGTAAGGGCGCTCACCACTCCAGCGATTTTGCAGGGCCTCACGAGGACAACGATTCCGAATGTATTTCTAAACCTATCGAGCTTAACTAGTGCTCATATTGAAGATGAAATGTTGACATGTGTTTATATGGGAGCGATTTTCGATAAGTGGTGATTTTCATATAAAAAAGTGCAACGACATAATTTCAATGCCCTTTTACCTAGGAAGGAGGTGAAAATCGCTCCCATATAAACACACATCAACATTTTATCTTTAAAACGAGCACTCGTTGAGCTCAATCGGTTGAGAAACACGTTCAAAATCGTTGTCCCCGTGGAGCACCTTTGTCAGGATTTTCGCGATTTTCGCGAGGAATTTGGGCATTCCTTAGCAACCGCTGCCGACTCTAGGCGGAGCGTCCAACTGGCGTGTGCGTGCGGCTGGGGGTCACACACGTTTTGGCGCCTAGTCCAGAGGCGTCTAGCCGTTTTGTGAGTCCTATACGTGCAAAATACGCACACATTTTTCGCCCGTTGCTAAACACCGCCCATTGTGCGTCGCGTCTCACTCATCCGAGCGAGAAAGTATGTTTTGGTTACCTCCCACCGAATTCGATGCTAATGCCATCTAGGGGTGGAGGTTATCGTCCCCACTTTGGTGGTGAACGCCGTTAATCTCAAATCTTATTGTTAGTCCTAGTCGCGGCGGTCTTGCGGGCAACGCGTCCACCGTAGATCTGCAACAATTCCGAATTTTTGGATTTTGAGTCCCTAGCTCGTCAACGGAATATCCGTATGACGTTTACAGAAGGTACGTTCGTCGAGATGAAATTTCGAACTTAAAAAATTTTGCGCCAGCAATCAGGCAGTAAATACGAAATTAATTTTGCCTATGGGTTCGACTCTATCCCAAGATTCCCCGTGCATATATTTTTTTTCCAGCAACGTTATTTTACCTTACCAACCGGACAATATCCATACTATGACTCGATACCGAGTAATCGGAATTAAAATATTAAGTATAATCTATACGTCCATTGACGTCAGAAATTCCCAATGAAGAATACGCAAAGTTATGGTACGCGTTTCCATATTTTAGGTATTTCAAAATGAACACCCAGCAAGTAATGGACGCGATTTCTAACAAAAAGTGAATAAAAGAGCAAACGACATTTTTCAGAAGTACATTATTTGCATGATACAAGTTTTTCAGATGAAACTAATCGGAACCCCAGTTTGGACAACCGCGAGTGTACGTTCATTGATACGTACATTGTTTCGAGCGCGCGGTCGAGTTCGGTTATTCACGCTGGATGCTGTACGCGCGGTTCACGGATTCTCAACGATGTGAACAATTTGTATATTTAGAAAACATAATGCAAGCTGGGACTTTAGAAAAATTATGGTTGCACTCTTATTCTGTCATATTTTCCTAGGAATCACATATGGTCCTAGTTTCCTGGACGTTCGTTCCATGACCCCCTGTACATATACATGTAAAATTGATTAAATCAAAATTCAATTAAACATAGTATAATAAATATATGAAAAGGGATCTGTGTCCCATAGAAGTACAGCAGCTCAGTGGTCAACACTCCAGGCATGTTCAAACGAGTCATGAGTTCAAATTCTAGTTCCGGAGTTAAATAAAAAATCATGGACATTCGGGCCCATCGAAGATCGACTGCAAACCTACTGTAGACTAAAATTTTGGAGTCCCAACAGGTCTGCTGCAGACCTGCTGACACGGGATTCGCTATAGACTCAGACTTGTCAAATTTTCTACCCTTCCCGCCGTAGACTCGTTACAGACTCTAACTTGAAGCCTTCTGACTCGTTGCAAATCTACTGTAGACGCGACCCATACTAGTCTGCATCAAGTTCGCACGGACTTTATAAAATCGGTCAAAAATGTCGACTCGGGAAAAGTATCCAATGGGGATCGAACCTGCACCGCTCTAGCACTCACAGACGTTAGATTGCTTAGTCCACTAACAATTAAAGTACCTTAGAGTAATAAGGCCCGCCATAACTTAGGATTTGTAAAAACAAAAATATTAAATATTTTGGGCAGGGGAAATGAGCTGAGTTTACATGAACAATGTTTATTTCAGTTACAAAATATAAAACTAAAATATCATTCTTAACAAAAACGTAATTAAAAAAATTGGAGAGTGGTGTAACCGGGTATTGTTACCCACGCGTGTGGGTAATAAGGCCCACAGACATCGGTGGTAAGATGCGCATTAATTTGCCCAGTTAAAGCACATTATGTCGTCAAGATCCTTGAATATTGTCTTCTAGAATTCTTCGTAAAGCCATTTCTTACACAGGGCACATTGCCGCATATCGGTAACTCTATTTTCTTGTTACAACCTGCGGTACCAATTCTCCGTCTTCATTGAGGTGCCGGGATTCGTTATTCTTAAGGTATTTTGCTGAATTTCTGTTGCGATGTTGTATTTACTGCAACTAGTCACAGTTTCTTGTCCTTTTCGAGAAAAACCTTTGGTTGCGCTATGTTGCACTATGCCAGGCCTTATTACTCGAACGGTGCAATTTACAGGTTTAAGTAATAATCTCTAGAACAACAAAACTTTTCAACAAAACTGTTCTTTGCACTGCACGCCAGAAAGCGAACAGCTCCTAGTAGTTCTGATTAATTGTTTTTAAACCAGATTTCTACTGGGATTCGCGTTACGTTGTTCTAGTTGAGAATCGAGGACTTCCTTCGTTCGTTGTAAAAAGCAGAGTGTCCTTTTTGACGTCACGCAAGGACTCGCGGTGCCTCAGAAAATGTTGCCGCGTTATGGAAGGGATACAAATTTTTTCTAAGTTTTATGTAATTGGTTCGTTGGCGGAGATGCCCAAAAATGTCGCCTCCCACGACCTCGGCAGCGAGGATAGCACAAGGGTAGTCAGGTTGAGTACAGCCTGACCGTGCCTTTGTAAGATCACGTACCGTCCGAGGGTATTTTTTATGGTCTTGTTTACCCAACCCTTCGCGAAAGTTCGGTTCCTTCGCACAAAGGCAAACAACATTTGGCGGCGAAATGCACACCGTGAGAATGCGGAGAAAGTCAAAATTCCCAGAATGGTACGAGATTCGTGAAGTTATAACTATGTACTCT